AAAAAAAAATAACATACATAAACAAACAAATGATCTGACTAGAAGAACACAAAACACACACACCGAGATCCGATTCACAGTTCTTATTTCTTTTAGATAAATAGTAAGGCGGTTTTTTTTCAAAAACATACACAAAGAAAAAACTAGAGTATGCACAAGAATACTTTCTTTTTTGTTCATACATATATATATGTATATACATAAATATATATATGCATTATTCCTTTTTTTTTCCTTTTTTGTTTTATCAGGACTAATCACTGTCGATGGTTCGAGAGAAGAAGAAAACAAAAAAATAAAGACAAAAAAAAAAACAAAACGGAAAAGAAAACATATATAATATACAATAAAATTTGAAAGAAAATAATGTTTTCATTCACTTGTTTAAATCAAGATTTCGATTTCGTTTTATATTTGTAGATGATGTTAAATTATTTCTTTTACGACGATGATCATTTCTATGAGCACGATATGCTCGTTCACTGGGAAATGTCTAATATACAATACATATATATAAACATATGTATTTAATATAAAATTTGTTTTTACCTGTAAACAATTGTCAATATCACATGAAAAATGAGCTATTGATAAATTATCACTATTTGTTATCATTCCATCATCATCCTAAATAAATATTTTTGTTTAAATATAAATTCCTTGTTGTTTTTGTTCATATATAACTTACTAAACGAAATTCAGTAAATGATGATGATGTTTCATCATCAAAGATTTGTTTTTGTGGTTGTTGTTGTTTAGTTTTTATCATTTGTAATCGTTTTCGTTTAGCTGTTAATGAGTTTGTACTTGATTCTCGACTTGTTAAATTTACTTTTGGCATATAATGAAATTCAATACATTGTTTTACAGTTTTTGTTCCAACCTTTGAAAAAGAAAAGAAAAGAAAAATCAAATTTTTCTTTTAATTATTAAAATAAAAATGAACATACAGCTCGACTAACAAGTAGAAAATTTTTTTCTGATGTTTCCATTGCTTTTGTAAATGCATCAATTTCTTCTTTTGTCCATGTATCACATTCGAGGAAATGATATCGATGCAATGGTCGACATTGTTTTATATCTTGAGCTGTACCATTAAGTAAAGCAGCTAATGTACGTTGTAAATCACCATTATATTCATGTAATAACATGTAGACTAATTCAATAGGATATAATGTTGGCGAATGACGTGGAGAAAATAATAAAGGATTTGTTCGACTTAATTGTTCATATTTTTCAAGTGATGTTTCATCAAGATATACAAGTTGAGATGGAGAAAATAATAGTTCGGCATGTTCTACTACTTCGTCTTCATCATCATCATCAATATCGATTTTTGTTTGAAGTTTTGGAATAGCAGCTTGATATTTTTCTCCAATATTTATTTTTGGTCCAGATATTTCATCTGGTACTGGTGTAAATGGTAAACCAGGTGTTGGTACAGTTGTTGTTGTTTGTTGTGTAGCAGCAGGTGTATGAGAAAAAACATGATAATACAGACCTGGTCCTTTTCGAAATGGACTAAGCATGGGTGGTGGTGTATAAGGTGTTGTTGGAAGTGGATTTGGTGTTTGACTTGGCATATTAAGACTTTGTTGTCGACGAAATTGTGAAACTTGTGATGGCCATTGAAATGAACTATTATTAGTATTTGTATCGGATAGTACTTTCGATGGATTTGGTTGAGGAAGATTTTCATAATTAAAATGTATATTACTTGATGAAGATGATGTTGATGAATTTGATGTTGTTGTTGATGATGGTGTTGTAATAAGAAAACCTGATGTTTGTTGTGGTTTTGTTGTATCAAGTATTGGACTATCAGTATCAGGAACAACTTTTAATGTTAATAAAGATGTTGAATCATCTAAAGAATTTTCAATATTTAGTTGTTGTTGTTGTTGTTGTTTATCTTGATCCATATTTTGTTCAACTATTGGTGAAAAATCTTGCATGATTTGATTATTTTGTTGTTCATCATGTGCTTCTTGTTTTAACGCATTTAAAATACGTTTTTTTAATGCTGCATGAGACAAATTAGAATTTGTATTTGGTGATGGTTGCATACTATTTATTATTGATCCATTATTACTAATATTATTATTATTGTTATTATTATTGCACATATCTGTAGATGATGATGGTGAACAATGATTTGTATTTATATTTGAATAAGGTGATGTCACCGGTGTATTTATAACTGAAGATGTAGGATTAAGTTTATCACCAGGTGAATGAACAATATGTGGTGATGGTGAATGATATAGATATGTTGTATATGGACTTGTTGATGGTGTATAACGTATAGATTCATCAAGTGTTGAATGAGGTTGATTGAGATGTTCATTACGTGATAAATAAAATTCTTTATTAATTATATCATTAGTATGACGAAGAATTTGATGAAAGATATTTGGATTTAAAGTAGAAGGTGCATGAGAAGATACAGGAAATTGAGAAAAATTAGATGGATGATGTTGATTGGATGTTGATCGACAATATGTATAAGGTTGAGAATGTTTTGATGGTGAAAAATTATTGTTCTAAATAGAGAAATTATTAAAATTAAAATTTGAATTTGATTAGTACGGAAATATATTTATTAAGAGTACTTGCTGTCAGTTATGACAAGTCTAAGTATATCTCAATAAAAAATAAAGATAATTACCTGTCGATCACAATGATAATGTTTTAAAGATTCATCAGCTGATAATGTTTTTCTCATTTTTTCATCATGCGGTTGCATTGTTGTTACATTTGGAAATATTTGTGGATTTGCAAGATGTTCAAATCTTATAATACCACCTGGTATATTCAATGAATTATGTGGATTTTGTGGCATATTCATTCTACTATGAATCGATTCTTCATTTGCACGTATGTCAAATCCATAATGATGATTATTATTTCTATCATATAGATGTGATGGTAATGGAATATGTTTTCGATTTTGTTTTGGAATACTTGGCATGGGTTGTACACTCATTGGATTTTTAATAGTATGATGTAACAATGGATTTGTTTGAGTTTGAATAACCGATGATGATATTGAACGTGTACGTGATGGATATGTTCGATCATAAAAACGATGTTGTAATACATCTGAACATGGTGGTAAAGTTGGATACATTGTTTGTTGATAATGATTCATATTCGATGATGATGATGAAGATGATGGTGTTGGTGATATCATTATAAAATCATCTTCTTCATTTTTAATCGGCATTGAACGTTGAAGTATTGGCCGTTGATTAGAATCATTTGATGTTGTAGGAGAATTAGTTCGTTTACGTTTTGATGGACGACGTTCATTATTTACGGATGATATTATACGTTTTTTTTTCTGTGTATTATTATCAGTTGATGTTGGTGATGGTTGTTTCTAAAAGAAAAGAAAATAAATAAGTAGAAATTATTTGTTTTATTTTGTTATAAACATACATCATTAAATCCACCATGTAAACGCATATGACCATTAAGTGCTGCACCATTCTTAAAACTTTTTTTACAAATATGACATTCAACAGATTTTTCTTCGTCAAATGTATAAGTTGGAATTAATTTATGTCCATTTGTTGATCGAATTTGTTGATTCATATGAAATAATTGATCATTATCAAGTGATGATGATCGCGGAGAATTACTATCAATTGAATCAATTGAGAAATCACTACTTAAATCTTTTGTTTTAACAAATGCTGTATCAGGTAGAAAATTTCTATATTCTTCATGTCCACCTTCATGAATAGCAGCTAGAATATTTTGATGTGCATTTTCAATATGTCGTTTTAATGATCGAGCATCACAATACGTTCGATTACAATCAGGTACACGACATTTATGTGGTTTTTCTTCTTCATGTGTTAACATATGACCATGACTAAAACAAAAACAATAATATAAATGACTTAATATAGTATTCTGACGAATTCTAATAATAGCATATTACGCGTTTTAAATATTATTATTTACTTCATTAGTTTAAGTAGACTTCTGAACATATTGAACTCGGTAGTAAAATAAATATATTTTTTTAAGTGTAAACAATAATAATGCACGAAGTGTTTTTTAATAAATAATTGGATGCTTTCTCAAATTTTAGACTCAAGCTATCAAGTTTTTTCAAGGGTAATAATGAGAAAATATATTAACTTACAGATGATCCAATCGTTTGAAACCTTTATTACATTTTACACATTTATGTCGTCTGTCTTGACAATGTGTAAGTTTATGTTTTGCTAATGCACTTTTATTAGCAAATATCTAAAAAGAAAAATATTTTCTATAAAAAAATAGATTGATTTTAATTTACTTTTGTACAATCTGGATGAGTACAATAATGACGATTTCCTCCTTGTTGTTGAGGTGATAATGAAGATAGATTTGTTTGAGATTTATTATTATTATTATTTGTAGAATCTAATGATGAGACTTTAATATCATTTGATAGAGGTGATGAAGAAGATAATCGGCTTTTTTTTTCTAATATAGAAAAAAAAATTATAATAATAAATTAAAATAATTTGATTTTTATTACCTGAAGATTTTAAAATCTGACTAAGAGTTCTTGAAGATGTATTTTGACTATTACTATTCGTCGAACTATGATTACTATTATCATCTTGACATAAACCATTAGTTGACATTGTATTTGTTCGTTCATCTGTATTTATAATAAGTGTTCGACTTGTTTTATCTTGATTATCTTCTTTATTTTCATTATTTAAATGATGTTTTATATCATTTTGTTCCGGAAAATTTGTATCAAATGTAAAAAATGATGTTCGTGCTGCTGCTGTTGTTGCTGCCGATGATGATGATGATGGTAATTGTACACTATTATTTGTTGTTAATTCAAAACCTGCACTATGTATAGGACTAAAATTTTTTCGAAAATTATTTCCAACAGTTAATTGATTATCTGGATGATCATTGGATGCTAATGGATTTGGTGGTGTAGTTAATATATGTGATGTACTACGAAGATATAAATGTGGTGATGGAGATGTTGTACTTGCACGAGATTCAGTTAAAGGTGTTGTTGATGTTATTTTATTCTCATCAACAGATTTATTTGGTTGATTATCGAGTAAATCATGTGAACTTGAATCAACATCAGCTATAAAAGAAAAAAATATATTTGTTTTTTTTTGTTTTAAAAATGTTCGATTATTAATTTCTAGAAAATATGACCGTGCTTTTCTATACAATAATACATAAATATATATGTATCTATGAAGGACAGAATATGAAAATAAAAACGAAAATATGAAAAGTAGCATGACAAAACCTTATATACGTTTATATGCATGAATGAGTAGTTTCGAATGATTGATTTGTTTTGTCATGTATCAGTAACAACCGTACTATTTACCGATTTTGATTACATTATATGATGCGGTCTAGACACGCGTACGACGACGAATTTATGAAGTTTTTTTTTTGATTAACTATCTATGCATACTCTATAAATCAATATCGAAGTTAAAATCTTATGTATTTTATTACTAACAGATGTTTAATTATCCCCGTTTTCTTTTTATGTACATACCAACAAGAGCATCAATTGAAGCTGATGGATCTTCATCATCATCGATATGCATTGATGTAACAACATTACCCCCTTCATTCATTCGTTTAACCATTAATGGACTAAGAACTGGATTAGACCATTGTTGTTGTTGTTCTTGAATTTGTACGGCTAGTAAACGATTATTATGTGTTGGAGTTGATGGTTGACTTGTATTTGTTGTTGATGATGATACTGCATTTGGACGATGATTTAATGGTGAATGATGACCATTACTTGTTACATTAGCCTATTGTTATGAACACAAAAAATATATATAGTTTTTGTTTCTTATGTATAAAATAGTAATTCTTACTTGTAATGTTAATTGACTATATGCTGGTGGTGTTGAATTATTTGTAGATCCAAGATTTTGTGATGCTGGTGGAAAATGAAAATAATGATGATAATGATTTGATGATGTTTGTAATGGAAATGTATGAGGTGTATGTTGATGTTGTGAAAATGGATCAAGTATATGTTGCTGTTGCTGCTGCTGCTGTTGTTGCTGTTGCTGTTGTTGTTGATGTTGATGATGGGCTTGTTGTTGATATTGATGAATACGGTGCTGCTGTTGTTGTTGTTGATGATGTGGAGAAGATAATTGAACATGTTGTTGCTGCTGCTGCTGCTGCTGCTGCTGTTGTTGTTGTTGCTGTGGTTGATAATGAAATGTCGCTGTATGTGGATGTGGTGACAATATTAAAGATGATTGTTGTATATGATGTGAATGATTATGATGATGACTATTATTATTTGTTTGTTTTAAATGACATATTGGTGCTGAATATATGCCATGATCATTAGATTGTTGAGTATTATTAACATCAAATACTGATAAATCAATATTACTTGGTCGACTCGGTCGACGAAGTGTTGATATAGGTGGATAATGATATGGTTCAATATGATTTGTTGTTGTAGATGATGAGGATGATGCGGTAGGAATTGAAGAAGATGATACTGTTGACGATGTTTGACCGATTGTTGTATGCATGATAATAGATTAATAAATGAAAAAAGAAATGGACTAGAAGATCACTGTTCGAGGATGCATGTAAATACAAAATACAACAACAAACAAAACAAAACAAAAAAAAATAAACAATATCTAGAAGAAAAAAAGAAAATAGTTTTATGAAATTCTAAGAAAGAATGAATGAATCATTCATCCTTCTTCTCTTTTTTTTACTCCTTTATTATGTGTCTATTAGTTTCCGTTTTGTCTTATTCTCCTGCAGATGTGTACCTGCAAGAGAAATGGAAGAAGAATAAAAAAAAGAAAGAAAAATCTATGTGTGTGTGTATGCGTATTTGCTAAAGAAACGTAGGAGGGGAAGCTCGGCTAGAAAATATAACAAATGTGTGATTACAGAAGAAACATACACATTCATGTTTGATAAAGGCGAAATATTACTCTACTAATATTTTTCATCAAACACATGTTTGTTCATCGATTGTGTATGAAAGACAATATTCATATCTTCATAAATGTATTATAAAGAAAGACAATATCTTTTTTGAAACAAAATCTATAATTTATATTAGAAATACTTTATAAATGTTTAATATAAATACTGACTTATGTCAGGTACGATCGATAAACGACTCAATCAGTTAAGTAAATAAAACAAAAAAACGTTATTTTTTTTTAAATAAATAAAATTATCTATCGTACCAATCGAACGATGTATATATTTTTAAATTAAAACGATTCAAAGCATCAGGTATAATCCAGATTTCTATTTATTTAGATAATATATATATTCAAAAAGTGAACATAATTATAATTTATAGGTGTCGCTTGATTTAAAATATATTGAATTTTATTTTCTAAACATAAATAATCCAAAGAAAATTTTAGATTTGATTAATTAGAATTTATCGTACACTAGAATTTAATCGCAGATGGCGTTAAATGATGAATAGAAGAAAATAAAACGTACAAATAATAATAGCCTAAATTTAAGACAAACATTCTACCATCTGATATCCACTAGACTTTTATATTTTATTACTTTCTCAATTAACAAATGCATTTGACAGATTAGTTAAGTTCCTTTAAAAAAAAATCTATCGACAAAGAATTAAATGACGTAGTTTTACAAACAAATAATTACAGTATATATATATATACCTATGAGATAATAATATTCATGATGTCGTCTTAGAGATTATCAAAATAGAATAAATGAGCGGAAGAATAACCTTTTCTACTTTTAAGAGAAGCTAAAATACTTTAAATTGACGTAAATGAAACGTGACAAATTTTATCTTTTAATTTCGAAAAAAGAATGTTTTATTTATATCGTTGAATTAATAAAAAAATAAAATAAAAAAGGAATATACTCACATAATTTTGTTAGGTTATTTTTAATCGACTCATCAACATAAAAAAAAATAAAAGGAAAACAAAAGCTCATTCTTCCTCCTTCTCTTTTGTCTCATCCTTCGACAACACAAGCCTACTATTCTTTTGTTGCTACAAGTTCGCGTCATCTCAGTCGTGTTGTCTTGTCGATTCTTTTCTCTCATTTTTCCTTTTTTCTTTTTTTTTCTTCTTCTTCTCTTCCTTGGTTTTCGCCTTCTTTTCTCTACTCTCGATCCGACAACATAGAGCAAGCTTGACGGCAACAACAAAAACAGAGCGCCAGAACCAATGCCAACAAAATACCGAAGTAATGGTGACAGAAAAAATAGCAAAGAAAATTGTCAAGTTGCGATGAAATAGTAGAAGATGAAGCAGAATGATTATGAGCCCTACTAGAAACACAGGAGCGAGAGAGAGAGAGAGAGAGACAGGAGAAGAATAAGAATAAGAATGAGTCTCTATTTGTTTCTCATGTAGTGAATGTTTAGCACTCAGGATCTAAATGACTTCACGTGGTTATGTATTAGTCTTAAACATGCATATCTGAGTAGGCGAAGAGAAAAGTAAGTGAATGAGAAAATGTGTTACCACAGACAAAATATTTTATAAATATCAAAATAATAATATTCGCATAAAAATAAAAAATATATTTGACTTATTATTGTATGGGAAAAAAAGAATGAATCTACATATTTAATAAAAGATTATGTATAAAAACAAGAAGCAAAATATGAATATTTCTATTTATTTATTATATACAATTAAAAATAGAGAGGGAGATATGAATGAATAAATATATTGACAATTATATTGGTAAAATTACTCATATTTACCTTAAGACAGATAAAAAAAGATAACTGCTAAAATAAATTCAATTAATAACGAACGATAAACAGAACAGTTTGAGTCATGAAACCTGACAAATGTTCTTTTTTTTTTTCTCTTTCGTTCTATTGCTTTATTACCTTTATCATGTCGTGCAGACACCAGTGACGGAAGCAATATGTATATTCTTTATATCATCAACCCTTAAGACATTTTTATTTCTACTACATAGATATATATATATATCAAATTCATTAGGAAAAAAAATTAAAAAAACTATTTATATTAATTAAACTAGAGTATATTTGATCTTTTATCTAATTATAATATTTTACTATTCTATTGGTTTTATCTTAGACAAAATAATAATTTTTTTTCTTGTCAAAAATTTGTAATCATGTCATATCAAAAAAAAGGGATACATATTACAACAATTTTCCACTTGATTAATTATGTAAACGAAATGAATATTTTTCCATTTGTCTTTTAATATAAATATAGATATATATCAATATTTCTTCTAGAGAAGAAGAACTTAAACGGAAATTATTATAGATGAGTACTTGAAAAGCTTATTCTCGACATTTTTCTTATTATATTTCATAATTAATAGAAAAAATAATAAGACAAAAAATATATATCTTCTTACTAAAACAATGTCCTTATATAATTGATTAATTCAAATATAGATAAAAGATAATTTTATACAAGAATTCAATAGACTTCATATAGATAAATTGATTAAATAAAATCAGATTTATATATTGTTCAAAAAATATCGATAACCGATAGAACTGTATGAACATAATAATCTGTTTTTGGTCATATAAAATAGCATATTAAAGAGTAAGAGTAATATAAAACGTTGAGTATTACATTACAATCAATAATATATGAAGTTCTAGATGTATTGAACCAAGAAACACACGTCTTTCTTTTCTCGAAATAAAAAACATAAGAATGCGTTCGTTTCTGATTAAATTAAGCGAAAATATTTAATGTCAATAAGATTAGGAGAGAAACATCTGATAACATCGAATTATGTATATAGATGAAAGCATGTTTTATAAAACAAACAAGGATAATATGTTTATGATTAAAGAAAAAAGGTTTTCTTTTAATATAATAAATGAATAATATGATGTTGTTTAACAACATAACTAGTATTAAGTAATGAAAGAGCAACTAGTAGTCTATATTTATGATTAAATATTATCATTAGGAAAAAATAACCATTAAGACTAATGTATTTGACCTAAACTTCAGATGTCATATTGAAAATATTGAATTTTCTAATTATTTAATCTAAGTCACTATATAAATATTAGTTCAGTAAATCTAATACAGTAGATTTCTAGGTAATGATCTACATTCACCATAAAACTATTTATAACATTTTGACAACTTATTAATCTAAGAATACATAATTTGTTTATAGCACATTTCGATACTTTTTTTTGTAATTCTTTCTTCTTAGTATTAGACACAATGTGAAAATAATGATATAATTATTTACAAACAAAATTTCAGATCGATTAAACCGTATCACCGCCTTTATTTTTCAACATATGTATATAAAAAGAAAAGGAAGATACACGCAATAAACCAAACAAAAAACTACGTTAACCAATACTTGTCTATGTTTTACTTTGACTGTTCAATCTAAATAACTTAGAAACATTTTTCTCTTTTTTTTTCCTATACATATACATCTTAATAAGAGATTAAGAGTTTAAAAAATAAAACCATGAGTGTCAAAATATAAAAACGAAATGGCAGGTTGGATTATTAACATAAAATGTTGAAAATTCATTCGACTTTCGTATTTCCAAGCACAGATTTCATTGCTGAACGTAAACAATGTGAATAAACAGGTTGAAAACCCTAAATATATAACAAATTAAAATGATTAACTTCGAAATTTTTTCTACTTACATTGTTCCATAGAACATCAGCAAAATAATCAATATATTCTCCAACTTCAGCGTATTCTCCTGAATATTTTGTATATAACCATACAAATAATAAAACAAAACAAACCCAAAACGCAAACATAAATATAAAATTAACTCCACCAAGCCAAATTATATCAAGTATACCAGCTATCATATAACATATAACCATTGATGATATAAATGTTGTTGGTGTACGACTGAATGCAAAAACATTTTTTGAATCATTATGTTTTTTAAAATTAACTAAAAAATTAGAAGATTGATATTCGATTTTCTTTCCTGTTTCTATAAATATATTTACGATAGAGTTCTGTTATTTCATTATCTAAATCTTGTTGATAATTTTGTGACATTTGTTCACCACCCATTTTACGAGCACAACGAAATTTTTCAATTGATTGTCGATGAACTTCTCGCTGAAGGGTATCTAATTGATTTGGATGAATATAAGGTCGATCACCACCGCAATGCTTTATTTCGAAAGAAAATAATGAAAAATTTAAATAAAATCTTAACAATTCTTTTACTTGTTCCATTGCACGAATATAGAATTCTTTTGAGATTGCTTTAGCGGCTAAATTATTTGCTTCCGCTGTTGCCTAAAATTAAAGAATTCATAGACATTATCTACTCAATTAAACGTGATAATATGTCACTTTATAAAAGAATCAAATATGCATACATACTTCAAGCATAGCTTTCGGCGATGGTAAATCTCCTGAAGCGAATACAGCACAATAAGACTAAAAAGAGAAGAATAAAATTTACATAGAGATTTCGATGTAACTTACTCGAAAATACTCAAATAATTGTGTAGATGTAATATGTTCTCCGTTGATTTCTTTAACAAAATTTATGTTATCCGTTCGAAAAAGTTCAGGTACAAAAGCTTGTAATTGTGTTTTAAAATCTTTTTCAATATCTAAAGTAACGATAAAGTTAATTAAATAATTTCAACAAAAGATAATTATTTAACCTTCTAATCTTCCATCAAAATCACGTCGATTTGTAACTTTAAGACCAGGATGTGGCATAAGAAAACAATTTACTCTACGAAAACATTGTCGTAAACGAGAACGTACAAGTTCAAGGTCACGATGTTGATTTGGTCGAATCTAATAATTAGCTAATTGTATAAAAAAGTTTTCAACAAAACAAGATTTTTCTACTTGTAAACGATCGGATAAAACTTCTTCTCCACCTTCAAAACCATACGGTGTTTCATATTCAAATTGCCAATCACGTACAAGAAATGTCAATTGCTAGACAATAAAAATAAAATAAAATATTTCTTTATCTAATTTTAAAAATGATCTCACTTGAAATGGTGATGTATGATAAGCGTCAAGTGCTAATACTCCATATTCTGCGAAAAATGATAGATGTTGTAAATTATCTTCTTGTAAATTATGCATTATATTATAAACAGTTACACTACTAACAAGTAATGTTAATGCAAATATAAATGCATTTTCAAATACAGTTGAATTGGAATCAAATGTTCCCTGAGTATCCATAAGAAGAACTGCAATCTATAAATAATTTATTATAAGAAAAAACGATAATAACAATACGATATGTCTTACTTCTTCGCCATTTGGTAATGACATAAGAAATGGTTCACTCCACATGATCATTCCGGTTGTATGACGACCAGCGCCTCCACGCCAATCAAATCCTAGTAATGGTTCACTTTCTTTTCCTATCCATTCTTTATGATCCTAAATATATATTTTTGCTTTTAGTTTTTTCCGTAAAATAATCATAATTACTTTTGCTCTTAAATGACGAAGGAAAAAATCAAGCATAAACGATTTTCCTTTACGAAAATCTCCAGCAATAGAAACAAGTGAAATCTAATATATATATATAGAAATATTTTTTAAAAACAAAATATACTTGTATTTTCGTAAATTTTACTTTTTTTCCTTGAGCTCGTTTATGATATAATATTTCTTTTAATTTCTTTTCATCAAGTACAAATTTATGATCATCAGTTATTGATACAATTTGTACAGGACCTGCCGAACGTGATGGTTCCATGAGAAAAAAATAAATTTATCTTAAAACTGATAAGCAATAAACAAAAGAACGGAGGTTAAGCTCGAGAGACAAATACTTAGCGTCGTATTATGTGTGAGAGAGAGAGAAACGGATAGACCAAGAGAATATCTTCTATCGCCATTACAGAAATTTACACGAATACAGAGAGAAATATCGGAAGAGAGGGCGCTGGATCACAGTGTATTAGAAAAACGATGATAGATCCATAATGATAAATGAGATCGAGTATACTTCATCATACAAGAGAAGTCTGTTTGACCTTGTCTGTTGTTCTGAATCAATTTTTAATGTGTATGCAATTATTTTTGTACATTTGTTTGGCTTTTGTTTATTTTAATGAATGAATTATTTAAGTAATTTACAAGCAGATGATCTTTTAGTATTACGATATCTCAATAATGATCATAGATTAACTCTAATTATAAATTTAAACATTTCTATACAATAAAAATCATGTGAAACAAAGACTTTTTTTTT